GTGTACTTCCTTGTAAGATTTCGTCGCATGAAGTCCGAGGGAAAAGTCCGAGGGAAAAAAATAAAACAACAGGTGAAAGAAAAAAAACGGAACTTTTAACTTATTGAAAAAGCAAACCCCATAAATGCAAATTGTAAAGGTAAAAAAATATATATAAGAAATAAGATGAATAACAACTTTATATATAGTTTCAGCGTTTGTGTTATTAAATTCGTTGGAGTTGATCAATCATGGAGCTTTATATCTGTAATAACAGTCTTGGATCAATCTATCAGTTTATCGTTTTTTCCCTTGATTTATTCAAAATTCAAATAATATTGATATGCATGATCTTGCAATTAAAAAGGCCTTTTTAAACTGTATTGTAAAAAATAATATTTTCATTAAAAAATGAATAAATTAATAACAAAGCAAAAAAGCATAAAATGCATTTTATAGTTCAATGAATCGAGCACGACTTTAATTTATTCGAGTTTTATCTACCCACCATTTTCACCCTTTACATACCCCAGGATTATCGTGAAGATAGCTAAAATGCCAAAATAGTGACTTCAATATTAACCTTGTCGGAAGCACGGCAAGTATGGCTTTCATTATTAAATAAAAGCCGGAAAGGCGGTACCGAACAGCATCTTTTTTGCATCACTATTATATGTATGTTATATCTAATCCATGTTGATAGATTTGTACAGCAGAATAAATATATGATATATTCCTTTGTCTACAGTATTAATTCTATTTCTCTTTACCATATAATGTAACTGTTTATCAAGAAAAAAAGGTAGCACAGTACCGAAAATACATAAATATAGCATGAAAATACGTCAATTTATTATAATATTTACTTTTAAATGAAATATTGAGAAATATTGATGAAATAAAATGCATAATTTTATTTTCCTTATTTTCATTGTAAAAAAATATTTCTTTTTACTGCAGTGAAACATATTTTCCGTATTTTTACGGGTGTCTTGCCGGAGTACTTTCTTCTAAATTCAGCCAATACATAAAAGGTGAATTAAAAGGGAACTCTTCCTATTCATAAGGTTAAAAAACAAGGAAAAGTATATAATAAACAGAAAATTCAAGTTTTTTTTTCTATTAATACAGGATTAAATTTCATCTTGGGGTATGAAAATTATCATATTTCACTTATGGATACTGCCACTCGTGAAATATTTATTTTCATACCACTCGATGAAAATAAATCCTGTATTTATAGAAGAAACTTGAAAATCCTCTATATATGTACAATTAATTAAGCATGAAAATACGTCAATTTAGAATGAAAATACATCAATTTAGCAAGAAAATACATCAATTTAGAATGAAAATATATCAATTTAGAAAGAAAACACACCGATCTTTGGTAATTAAAAGCAAAGCTCTTACTATTTTAGAATGTAGATTTTTTTGCATTGTAAATTCAGTGCTTATACAGTTTCAGACAAGAATTTGAATGGCCCTGAATTTTATTTGCACATATAGACATTTACGATGCACATATATGTGCGTTGTGATCAGAGGAACAAAACAGAATTTTTATTTCCTTAATTTGTACATATAGTAAACATCATTATATACAACATATGAGCCGCGTTACGACAAAACCAACATAGCACGTTTGCGACCAGCATGGATCCAGACCAGCCTGCGCATCTGCACAGTCTGATCAGGATCCATGCTGTTCGCTATCAGTCTCCCTACTTGTAACTGAGTTGGTAAGCGAACAGCATGGATCCTGATCAGACTGCGCGGATGTGCAGGCTGGTCTGGATCCATGCTGGTCGCAAATACACTATGTTGGTTTTGTCGTGACGCGGCTCATATTATCATTTCGTGCAATCAACATGGAGCTTTATACAACCAATGCAATAATATGAAAGAAAACATATTGAATGTTAGTAATCAAGCATTTATAAGTTGATCGTTTAAAGATCTATAAAGTCATTCATTCGAAATCATATTCAAAAAGTAAATGTAATCTTATTTGGGAAGAAATAAAACCTTTCAAGAGGCTGACTGAGTAGTTTAAATTGTAAATCATGCAAACTTTCCACACTTTAAAGTAATAAGTAAGGGGCTTAAAAGTTTATCATAAAAGCTGTTGAATGAATGACATATTGTTAGTCGATTTGTGAAACAGATAAAGATATCAGCCGAGAACGCACTTGACCATGCATTATTATGAATTGTAAAGGTTAATATGTACTAACAACGCCTCCACAAAATTTTGATTCTAAAAGTTTTTACATAAATATACTTTCTTTTCGATTACTTTGCCAAAACTGAAGGAAAAGGTCAGTGACCTGTCTGTAACACTTATGTAACAGTTACATAAGTAAGAGACCTATATCAAGTGACGTGTACGTCGCCCCCGTATATTATTCATTGAAAAAATCGAAATGATAAGAAAATAGCTCGACGTTTACGATTGGTTAATATCAGCAATGAAAACAAAATTTCATTCATGATTATAACTTCCTGGTGCCTTAAGTTAACCTATTTTACTATCAAGTTCAGTAAAAAATCCCATTCAGATTGACCGTCGCTCTACAGAAAATAGAGGATATTGAATGAGTGTAGTTTAAATCATATTATGCGAGCCTCTGGCGAGCATTATATTGTTTTATTCAACGAGTTCAATAAATTTAGTTTTGAATCTACACGAATATAATATTCTATTTATCACATATGTAAAATAAGAACAGTAAACTGTTAAAATGAGTAATTTTTCAATGACGCGCCCATAGTGTAACGCTAACATTAGCGCGCTTTAGCGCTATGTTTCCATATAGCGCAAATGACGTCACGTCAAAGTGTTATTTCACTAGTGTAATATCGTTTTTATTAAATAGAGGATATTTGTTTAGTTCAGTGTAAGATCGGAATACATTTCACCGAGTGAGCACCAAAAGGTATATTTCACGAGTGGCGCAGCCACGAGTGAAATATGAACTTTTGGTGTTCACAAGGTAAATCCGAACATAAGTACTAAATCCGGTCGGAAATAACAGTGCAGGGCCTACAATCTTAGAAATGCGTATAATCCCAGAAACGTTCACGTACTGTACAAGTTTATTTTCTTCTTGCATCTCAGACAGGATTATCTACCGTTTACACCGGTGCTAGAAAACTCTGTCTTACACCCCCCATGTAAGACAAGTCGCGTGCTTTAAATGACGTCATTGACGCGCGACTTTTATGAATGAATCGCGTTCTTAGGATGACGTCATTTTTCCGTTATGAATGAAGTTGTATGTTCATACGCTACTATAAGAAAAAAGTGCGTAATGAGAATATGAGTTTTCATAATTTCTGTTCCGAAAATAATTGACATGTAATATGCAAGAAAAAGAATCAAACACCGGCAGTTGGTACAGACGGGAATATCTAGCTCTCGGGTAACTGTTTAGCGGAAACTCGGCAGAGCCTCGTTACCGCTGTAAACAGTTACCCTCGAGCTAGATATTCCGGCCGGTCTGTACCGGCAGCCGGTGTAAGATTCTTATATTCTTTTGTTCATCAAACATTATCTGATTGGAACCTTTACTCTCTAGAAGAACGACACGCCCCAGCTCTGAAAACATTATTTTAAAATCCAAGCCCAATTGGGATATAAAGAAGGTTCGAATTCAAATACGGCGACAGGAAAACAACAACACAAATCTACCATACACGACTATATATAGCGGGTATCACTACTGTATGGCATGTTAAATGGATATATTTTCTAAAAAAAAAAAAATAGTCGTCGGCCTCCTTAAATTTGCATAATATGGTGATACAGAAACCACACAACACTTCTTTTTCAGGTAAAGAACACATTAATCAACAGTATGAACACGGTTGCAAATTCAACACTATCACTATTTGGATATGTCTACACTTATATACAAACGCAAAGAGATTCTCGTAATGTCCAACTTAAAATTATTAGTCATTGGTCTAGGCACACACAAACAAACATCTTAAGTAATCATAAACTTTTGTCTTCTTCTCTTTCTACTCTTTTTCTCAAAAATTTGTGATTTGTTAAATGACCTTAACCTATATCAAATTATTTGCCTAATATGTTCTTTAATTAAATATCTTTTACCAATTTTCTTTTAATGTAAATTAATATGTGTTATTAGTTTACATATTAATTATGTCTGTTTATTCTTGTTAACTTAGTAATTTTGATACTTTGTTGTTTCCATGAACCATGCCTTTTCCTTGTGTCACCATATGTTAGATTATCAGACCAATTCCCCAATGGAAAATATGCTTATTTTTTCCCGATCTTTAAAAAAAATTCCCAATCAAACTGAAATACACGATCGATATTGATCAAAACTGACCAATTTACTGGAGTTCATTCCAACTTACTTATGGTATCAGACAGATGTTTCCACACATTTCATTGTCAAATTTAAACGTATTTTTGCTTTGAATGATATTTGCATTGGTTGAATTTTGCACAATCCAAAATATTATGCCAAAAGAGCATGAAAGAGGTTTCAAAAGGTACCAAATATTTTTTCCCATTAAGCAATGCTAAATTTCCTAAACTAGGCCTAAAATGGCTATGAAAAGGCATTCTTTCATAACAACGCACATTCTACTTTTTAATCTATTTGTGCAAAATTCCGGAAACACTATCTTTTTGTAACGTATTTCATGCATATCGTTATTTATTGCATGATAATATTGATTTGTAACTATTACAATACAATTTGTGTTTTTACTAAATAATGAGGAAATTCGAGACGACAGCGTTAATTTATATCATTCGTTAGTTATTTAATTTTACTGTTGGAAATTAATGCGCATGGTTAGTTTAAATAAAATTTCTTTTGCTTTTTTTTTATTTTCTTATTTTCTAAACTACTGAAATAATTTAGATATATTTGACTTTTTGTTCTAAAACATAGTATATTTATGATTTTCTCTAAATACTTATATATACCGGGTATATATGACAGGACTATTTTACAGGGTCATACATATTCACTTTAATGTTCTTAGGTTCAGTTGTTTACGAATGGAGAAAGATTTCGAGTAGTTGCTATGTAAGATACTTTCGATTTTAATTCAGATTGATGGTTCATTTGACGTTGAATTTGTATTTTGAACTTACTATGTATTTTTATAGCATGATTGAAACAAGATAATTAGTTGTCATTTTATTTAAACTGAATATATTTATTTGTTTTGTAAGTTGCAAATGTGATTGAACCGCAGCAGACGCTTGGGGTCAAACCCTGCCCCCCCCCCCCACGTATAGCCAAATATATAGATAATAGATACTTCTGGCCCTTATGGCATAGTAAGAATCATCAGTGTCAGATACAAGACTGTTAGTGTGAATTGTTGGATACAGATTTTAAGATGTTTTTTTATATTACAAGATAAGTTAATAGATCTATAACCGTATTGATATATATAAATATGATTATTTTTATAACTTTTCTGAAAAATTTCAGGTAAATGGTAGTGATATTTAATAAGATAAAATTAAATCAAGAGAAGATTCATTTGTATGGATCAGGATGTATATTATATATTCCTTTATCTATGACTTTATTTAATTTATAACATGTTGTAAAATGTAACTAGCATAATGTATTTTTGTGTGATTTCAGACACACATTAGTTATTACGGATAAAAGACTTGACAAACTATATAATTGACTGTTTGGTTTAAAGTGCAGACTTCTGTCTGTATTACAACCGTCTGTAACAAACCCTCTACGTGCACAATATCCATCTCTATTATTTGGTACTGTACGTATTACACATCAAATACCAAGATGCAGAATTGCTACAACACAGGCGAAAGAATTCCACGTGAGAAAAAGTTTGAAGTGGAGGACAGGTTGGCAAATAAACATATACAGACATTACAGTTTGTTCAAGAGGTTGTCAATGAGAACAAAGTGCTTAAGAAGAAAGTTGAAGATTTTGAGGTAATACATTTACAACTGTATATATCTGTTATGATATAACCAATTAATTTTTTTGGTCTCTACATGTTTTTATTATGCATACCTCATTATAGATAAGAGTACATTATTGGTTGTGTCTGTCTGCGAACTTAAACTTTGGCTATAACATCTTTACTCTATTACCTAAAGCCTCCATTTTCAAGCATTACATAACTTAAGATGTGAACTCTATTTTGACTTTTATATGTCTATTATGAAATGCTTAATGTTTGTAAATGTGAATATAGAAGTCAACTCCAGTATAAAATGAAAAATGTATTGTTTTATTTAAAACGCAACATTTTGACTCAAAACTTAAAGTATTTATCAGGTATGGTTCTTAATAATACGGCGCCCCTCTGTGTTCCTCAGATGTATGTCTATGTTGTTTTATACTGTTTTGGTGACACTTTTGCTCGTGTCTCTTGTTGTTTCTCGTCTACGGTAAGTATCTTCCCTTTGTCCCTAGTTTTTATTTATTCCCCCCCCCTTCCCCGTGTCTCATGTCCCCTTCCCCTGTGCCTTTTGACATTATGGGCCTTATATTAAATCATTTATTTGTTTTGTTTTATTTCCTTATAAGTTACTAATTATGTATTCTGATGTAGTGGTTTGCCTGCCCGTACTCTGCCTTATGCCCTGTCCTGTTTTTCTTTGGGGTCCTCCTGGGCTCCTTGCCGCTGGCGCTTGTTGCTGGGTCGGGTGGGGGCTGCGTTCATTGAATGCCGCCTTTTCTTGTCGATCTTGTTTATCATATTTTAAACTTGAAATGTATACTGGTTGGGGAGATAACTTCGGCTGGTTGATAAACTAGGCTTTTTATAATTAAATGCAAAGTTTAATGCCGTACTTCATTAAATCGTAATCAAGCTCACGGCATGGTCACATCACCTATCCGCTGGAATAATCGACAACCTATGGTTGGAATAAATGTGCTTGTCAGTTTGGTAAGATTATTTTATAATATATATACACAGGACTTTTTTCCTGTTTTATTTTTTTTGTTTTTATCAAATGCAATTGCTTATAAAATATATTGTTATGTTGTAATTCCTATTTGTTTGTTTGAGTCAGATGGTCATTTTTTGAGGAGCCCCGCAATCCAGGGATACTTTCTTTTATATGACATTTGACTCTGATACTCCTTGGTATAATGCGCATGACAGAACGTTATATTGGTGTATACATTCTTGTGTTGATGAAAATATCAGCTCTCACTTTTGTCTTGGCTATCTTCTCAGAATAAAGGCTGATTCACTATTTGCTCCATCTTTAGAGGTGGGTTATGGAGAAATTTGTAAAAGTTGTTGCAACTGATGTTAAATGCTCCATTTATATGTTAATGTGTAGGTTGAATACCAATAAATTAATTTCTTCTTCACTCTGTTAAGCTAAGAAAAAATAAATTTGAATCACGAGTTCTTTAACTACATATTTCGTTACACATTAATAAATGATAATGCATGTGTTTTTACGTAAAAATGATTTATATGTTACATAGTACGTTGCATATAAATATCGTGTTATCATGTGCATAGATATTCATTATACTAACGTAATGCTCAACAATTTTGGTAACAAATATTTTTTATTTGAAATGAATCAACAGGAAAGAAATAATAAAAAATGTCTTAACATGTTATTTTACGTTTTAACTTACTCATTTAAGAAGAAAAACAAAGAGCCGGAATTATCTACTCGCGCGCGTTAAAAATATCCTTTTTAGCGTACCTCTGTCGCCAGGCCTCGTTCAAAATTACCCAATTTAGTATTCTAAATATAACTATTTTTATATGTTGATACCATGAGGAAAATCGAGGTGAAGTTTTATTATATATGCAGAGATTCATCAGAATACATAAATCAAATAAATGAAATAATGCCCCCAAAACACTGATTTTCGTACCGAGTTTATCTTCCAAACCAGGACATGTAGTTTATACTATTTACAAACATTCACAAATTTGATATCTCGACTATCTACCCAAATAACACTGTATCAAAACCAAAAATATTAAACATTGCTTATAACAATAATAATGTTTAACAGTGGATTATATGAGGAATTGAAGAACTGTTTGTAATAAATAGACGAACTATGAACCCGTACCCACATGGAATTGGAATTTAGCAGTGTTTTGTTAAGAATTGGGAAAAAATGCATGACTGAAATTTTACAATGATTAAATGGATGCAAACAATAACTGTCTAGGATGGCATCTTCAAACATTTTAAGCACTATTACAGTGAAGGAGCCCTGATTTTCAAAGATCTTAGAATTTTTATTCAATATTTTTATTTTGTAACTTTTAATTGGGAATTTTTTCCTGTGGATTGGGAAAATAATATACTATTTTCAGTTGGGAAAATGACCCAATAACAGCTATAAAATAAGCCAAAAAAATCCCTGAAATTTATCAGACAAGTGAGTAAAATCATATTATGTTGGCAAGCATAATATTGTTTTAATCAACAAGCTCAATAAATTTAGTATTGAATCTACACAAATTTAATATTCTATTTATCACATATTAAAAATAAGAACAGTTAACAATAAAAAAACGTCATTTTCATTGATGCGCCTATAATGTAACACTAACATTACAAGGCCTTTTTACCTTCTATAACAGGGGCCAGTATAGGGCTGCTTCCCCAAAGAAAATTTCTTTAAAATCAGACAGTTTTCCCCAAAAATTGAATTTACATCAAGTTTTTTCTTCCCCTTTTGCAAATATACCGTGTAATTTTTCCCCAAAATTAAGGGCTGGGCTGCTTCCCCAACCTGTGAAAAAAAGCCCTGCATTAGTGCACAAAACTTTGTATAAACTCTGATTTAAGCAATATGGAGCTCTCATGACCCTCTTGTTACATAATGTGTTATATCCAAACTTCAAACTAAGATAACTTACTTTTTCACAAAAATAAAATAATGTTATTTACAGCTTTATTTTATGAGAAAAATTGATGCTATTTTTAGCAAACCCAAAAGTACTGCATTGCAATGCAGTAGCAGTACCACTTTTTAAGACAGTTTGCAGTAGTAGCAAAATTTGGTGAGAGTAATTCAGTATCAGTACCAGTACTTGCAAAATCACTGCAGTACCAGTACGGTTACCGGGGGTTATATGTTTTTTTTTTTTTTTTTTTTTTTTTTTTTTTTTTTTTTTTTTTTTGTTTTTTTTTTTTTTTTTTGCAGTTATATTTTCCTTGCTTGTATCGCTGCTGTCAGCAAACTCTAACTCAGTTTGAAAATAGTAAATCTTTTATTAGGGATATGAAATTGCATTATTGTAGGGTGTCAATACAATATAAAATACTTGCCTGAGATTTCTGTTAATAAAGTGACTGAAAAATAATGCAATAAAACAACATGCAATACCAGCCGAAGTTTATTTGTTGATTCCACTTACATATTATGTCTTAGGCAAATAAATACTGGAAGAAAAAATTATTTTAAAAAATAAACTAATGAACAGTTCTTTATGTAGACAAAATATCAAATAATGAATAACAATTTCACTAAATGTTTAAAAGAGATAGCATTGATTTCATGTAAGTTTGGTTTAATTAAGGGTTTTAAGCTTAAAATGTGTGGTAGTGTAATTGTCGCTAAAGTTGTATTGGGGAATTTTCCCCTTGACTTGTATACTTGAATAGGCAGGTGATTGCTCTTTTTGCTATGTTTGAAGACATTTGTCTAGAAGTCAAGAAAGCATTACTGCAGTCAATAATTTTATTCAACACAAATTTATTAAAGTATTTCCCTTTATACAGACTATCATGACATTGTGGTATGTTGATGGACTTCCGGTAATAATGAGTTGCTTCTCTATTTGTTGCTCGTGGTTTGGTTTTAATTTGATCCTTTGATTCTGTTTCCATTGATACCCTGTTGCATCTGACTTAGGTATTGATAGATGCTGTTCACTATAGCATTATTACCCGGTATTTCATCCCCATGGTGAACTCATTTTGCGGAAGGTGTCATCTCTCTCATAATTATTGATCATCTTCATGAAAACTGATTAAAAAATCATTTACATTTTGTTGCTGTTTTGTATGATAAGCAAAAATAAAAACACGTTCCCTGTTGTCACAATATAAAATTGAGAAAAAAGTAACCAATGAACAAGCATCTGAATATGATATTTCTCTAGATACCCCTTTCTCTGCCATCACAATAAGTAATCCCCAGAAAAAATGAGCCAATCAATGGGTGTACTTACTATACTCTTGAGTGCGGGTTACTGATACCTGCACTCTAGTTAGCGCACTGTACATGTATATGACTGTAATATACATTTTAACTCTGACACATTTTCAACAGAAATGTCCCCAAACTATGATACATTAATATTTTGTTTCATATATTAAAAGAATCAGATAATTCATGTAAATCAGCTATTTATATACTATTTTTTGGGGAGGCTATGCCGACCCAATGTTAATAACTGTCTGTCAAATCTTACTGCCGCGGTAATCAGGTCAAAAAATAGTACCTTGATTTTTTCTAAGCTGACTCAATCACTCATCACAGAACATTTACAATATTGAAAATATTTTCATTCTTTAATTTCATATCTGCAATTTGTAAAGATAATAATTTCTCTGAAAAATTCTTGCATTTTTTGTTTAAATCACTACTCCGTGACGTCATGACCTGCCACGGTAATCAGGTCAAAAAATAGTACTTTTGATTTTTCTTCTAAGCTGACTCATCACTCATCACAGACATTTACAATATGAAAAATATTTTCATTCTTTTAATTTCATATCTGCAATTTGTAAAGATAATAATTCTCTGAAAAATTCTTGATTTTTGTTTAAATCACTACTCCGTGACGTACGTACATGGAACTGCCGCGGTAATCAGGTTTAGGCATATTACGTACGTCTGTATTAAATAGTTCTGGTATGAAAACCCTTCAAAATAATAACTTTATCCATATTTTTTAAACAAAAAGCATAAATGAAAATTTATA